CCATTCCCACTACGTTCCGGTGCATTGCCTCCAGAGCGACACACCTCTCCAGGGAGGAGCGAGCGTGTCTATGCGACACTCAAGAAAGGTGTGAACTGGAAAAATCCAATTGTCTAAGCAGCGACTTGCAGCCTTAGAGCTCGTTCATGGTAAGAAAATGTACAAATATGCTTTCACCTTCCTCCCCCTGTATTTCTAGTTCGCACTGGAGGGAGGGGTGCCCACTGACCAGTGCCCCAGGTCAAGGTAAAATATTGTTTCATTGCTGCACGCTACGTGTTTTGAGCTAGAAAAGTGAAATTCGGAACTGTTGAAAGAGTTATATAAGAACTGAGAGATCCTTCGTGCCGGTTGCCTGCAATTTTGAAGCCATGTAGGTATAAATCAAGCATGACTTTTTTGAGTCCTGATATGTTAGATGTGCTGCCATTTTTCTTTGTGCCACATCGAGACTGCCGTCCCTCCTCGCCCTTCCAAGTTGCACTCATTAGATTTTCTTCCCCCGACCACGAACACCCGCATGGAAAAAGACCAAGCCACACATCAGGATAACCAGTTATCGCACAATTAATTTCCATAAACCCTTTCCCGCGTCCTCATTTTTTCCTCACACTCCTTTCTCCCCTCCTCGGTTTTCCATAGACGACTCCGACGATGAGTTACCTCTCGCCAAGAGGTGCTGTGGCGAACAAGCACCAGGAAACCCAGCGGAGCCCGCCGCAGTCCCGGAGGTAGCAGGCCAGTCCAGCGAGGCGGCATGCACAGAGATCTACCTACTGAGTGATGACCCAGCGGGGACGGTGCAGCCCGGCGAGGCGCGCGCCGAGGCCTGTCCGACCGGACCCCTGGCTGACCCAGCGGGGGCGGTGCAGCCCGGCGAGGCACGCGCCGGGGTCTGTCCGACCGGACCCCTGGCTGACCCAGCGGGAACGGTGCAACCCGGCGAGGCGCGCGCCGAGGCCTGTCCGACCGGACCCCTGGCTGACCCAGCGGGGGCGGTGCAGCCCGGCGAGGCACGCGCCGAGGTCTGTCCGACCGGACCCCTGGCTGACCCAGCGGGGACGGTGCAACCCGGCGAGGCGCGCGCCGAGGTCTGTCCGACCGGACCCCTGGCTGACCCAGCGGGGACGGTGCAGCCCGGCGAGGCGCGCGCCGAGGTCTGTCCGACCGGACCCCTGGCTGACCCAGCGGGGACGGTGCAGCCCGGCGAGGCGCGCGCCGAGATCTGTCCGCTGACCGAGCTCGCCGCGGTGCTGGTAGGGCTCGGTGACAGACAGCTCAGCGATGTGCACTTTGAGAGAGATTCGCCAATGCCTGTATTGGATGAAGGGGACGGAGAAGTTTCAACTTCTCAGTTCACTGAGTTAAGACCTATGAATCAGGACGACAGCTTAACTATAGTTCGTCTTTCTTCAGTTTGCCCCTCACTGTAAACGTCTTTTTGAACATAGCACGAGAATTGCTAGCTGAATTACTGAGAAAACTGGTTGGCGCACACTGATTTGACAAGATTTCACAGACGATCAATTTCATCAAATTTATTTACTATTTCACAGACTCGTAAATCGTACTTGCCAATACCTACAGGCCCACAGGGATAGACGATTCCTCAGGAATTATGTCTGAACTAATAACTAACAAATTGAACAAATTGCACATACTGGTACCCTAACTAAACCCTGAAGAGAAGAAATTGATCGGTCAAAAACTCTAGCTCTGGCGTGATTGCAAACTTTTCTGAGGTAGGGTCACCAAACCGCCTCTGGTGACCTGACCTGAGGTCAGATCAACTCAAAATTTTCAGACATGTTGCGTAGAAGCCTTTTAGGAAAAGTCAGAAAATTTGAGCTTCCTAGCTCAACGCGTTTGGGAGAAATAACCAAAAAACCTCAGGGGGGGGGGCTCCTGAGGCCCCCCCCCCGCCAGGAATAGGGTTAAGTCTTTTCTACAAGAATATTTATTACGCAGTTTTCGTCCCGTGTTCTTGTTGTTGTTTTTTTTTTGCTTTTTTTTTCTTTTGTTTTGTTTATGCATACATTGTTTGCTTTTTCATTCGTCTTTTTTGTCCTTATCCTACCTAACCATTGTCAGCCCTGGGTACTCAGCGGACGTCACTAGCCATGCTATCTGTCTGCTGGGTCCCCAGGGGTAACCTTTTTACTAATACCTGTGGTGGCGGGCTGTCGCTTGAAAAAAAGAGCGGGGAGTGATGTGACCTAATGTGCTTGAATTCCCCTCCTTGAATGAAGTTCCATGGTACTTAACGTAGCCAGGTCACATGGGCATGGAAGGGCACTCCTGCATACCTGTTCCACTATGTTTCACATGGTGGACAATTCAATAGGTATGGGACAAAAAAAAAAATAAATAAATTGCACGGCGCTTAACATAACGTCAAATCGTCGGTGTTCAAAACTTATTTTTGAAAATATTATTCATATCTACAACACTGGCGGATCCAGGGGGGCCACGGGGGCCATGGCCCCCCCAAAGGCCTAAAGTGGCCTGTTTGGCCCCCCCAAAAAACGCCAGAAAAATTGCTAAGAAAATATACCTTGATGGAGGTTTTTAGCCACTTGGTGAAGTAAAGCTTTCCACAGCATAATATGGAAGCAATATAGTAGCAGTGAGGGTCATCAGTCAAAACTCAAAAGTTGCGCGAGCGGAGTCGACCTTAAAAAAAGACTGTTGTTGGCACGTGTTTATGGCGCGGCAGCTGGTAGTTGGCGGTGTTTCGCGTGGTGTGGCATCACTGGCGGATCTGGGGGGGGGGGGGGGGGCACGGGAGCCTGAGGTGCCCCTGACAGGCCCGTGGTGCCCTTGCTAGGCCTGTGGTGCCCCTGGACCCTGGCAGGCCTGTGGTACAGTCCACAGCAGAAGTAATGTGGGGTTTCAGTCATGGGTATGTTCTGCTTCTGAAGCTTAGGAACGATTAGCCAGACTACAATGAAACTTTGAATGTAGCTTATATGTATCGTCACCCTTGCAGCTGCAACTTTAGCTATTGACATCTTCTTTTCAATCACTTCACATTAAACAATCGCCAGTCAAAGCCAACCGTTGAGTTTGGTAAAACCCTACATTACTTTAGCGGTGGGCTGTACCTCTGGCGGGCCTAGGGTGCCCCTGCTAGGCTGCTGATGCCCCTGGGACCTGACAGGACTGTGGTGCCCCCAACAGGCCCGTGATGCCCCCGACAGGCCCAAGGTGCCCCTGCGTGATGCCGTGATGCCTGCGAGGCCGGTGGTGCCCCCTGCGAGGCCGGTGGGGCCCCTGACAGGCCCATGGTGCCCCTGCTAGACCGGTGGTGCCCCTGGCAGGCCTGTGGTGCCCCTGCTAGGCCGCTGGTGCCCCTGGGCCCTGACAGTACTGTGGTGCCCCTGACAGGCCCAAGGTGCCCCTGCAAGGCCGGTGGTGCCCCTGTAAGGCCTGTGGTACCCCTGCTAGGCCTCTGGTGTCCCTGACAGGCCCATGGTGCCCCTGCGAGGCCGGCGGCGCCCCTGGCAGGTCTCTGGTGTCCCTGACAGACCTGGGGTGCCCCTGACAAGCCTGTGGGGCCCCTCACAGGCCCGTGGTGCCCTTGCTAGGCCTGTGGTGCCCCTGGCGGGCTGGTGGTGCCCCTACTAGGCCCGTGGTGCCCCTGACAGGCCTGTGGTGCCCCCGGGCGCCAAGGGGGTCATGACCTATGTGGCCCCCCTTGGATCTGCCACTGATGCATAATATATTGATTTGTAAAGGCGTTATGGCTTATGCAATATGTAATTGCAGGCACTTGGTATCCCTCACTTATCCCTCATTGGGGCTCTGGCGGGCTCCTGAGGGCCCACGTCTATCTCCGGGAGCCCATATAGACAGGCTCCTTTGGGTCCTTTCAGTACACTATAGCATAAGAGGTCTCCATGCGAGTCCTATACATACATCTGAGGGCGTACCCTGATGTCTGAGGTACCCAACTGCAGCTCCAATGGTCTCTTCTTACACTGGCGGATCCAGGGAGGGGGCATTTAGGGCCATGCCCCCTTCCCAGAGGCCTAAAGTGGCCCGTTTTCCCCCTCCCCAAACGATAATGAAACATAGTTCAATCAGGGCGTGGCCCAGGAGCCGAGTTAGACAGGGCTGTTTTACCACCTCCCGGCCCGCAAAGGGACCCAAGCACTGACTCGAAGCGGGTTAAAGAGACCCTCCCACCTTCAAAAAAGTTAATGAATTGGCATGAAAGTGATGTCGCTAGGTTCAGAAAGGGCGAAAACGAATATCTACCAAATTTTATCGAAAAATATTCACCGGTTTTCAAGAGATAAGACTTTTATTTTTGTTTACTTTTTGGAATATCCGCTGCTGTTCCTAGCGACTTTATTTGAAAGTGGGGCATTTGTTGCGCGCAAAGCAGCCTATACCACCGCATGCTACCAAACGTTTTAGTAAAATATTAAAAAATCATTAGATCTCCGCTGACGTTACACATTCAGAGGGGTATCCAAAAGCATTAGCCCCTCTGAATCAAAATGCTGCAATTTTGAAATTCAATATTTCCGATTTAAGGCATTTCTCGATGTTGTGAGTGCGTGCCGAAACCGGTAATTGTGAGCCAGGGACCCCATTTTGGCTATCTCAGCTCAAATCTAATGTTAAGGTGGGAGGGTCCCTTTAACTGGTCGATAAAAACAATGGTAAGTGTTTACAAAGTAATATAAAGGCATGGGTCGGGTGGGCTACCATTTATATATTTTTCTTTTTAGTTAAAAAAAATTCATAGTGTCAGGGCTGTGACGAAAAATAAGTGGCCTAAATCCGATGAGAAAACAGGATTTGGGGGTACCCTAGGTTTGGCTCCTGCATGAGTTGCCCCCCCCCCCAAAACGCAAGCCTGGATCCGCCAGTGATCTACAATACAATGTGCGCTAACCAGTTTTCTCAGTAATTCAGCTAGCAAGTCTCGTGCTGTGTTCAAAGAGACGTTTACAGTGAGGGGCAAACTTAAGAAAAACGAACTATAGCTTAGATCTGTCGACATCGGCGTGTAGTCTTTCACAACTGGACAGTCTGGAGGTGGACACGGTAGCTGACGGGCTGCCTGCTCTGTCTGATCCCGGGTTACTGGTAGAAGAGGATCGAGACTTGGGAGAGACAGCACAGATTTCAGAGGGTTTGGAAAGTGGTGTGGGCCAGACGGCCAAGAAGGCGAGCGCCAACTATGCTACAAAGCACCAAGTGCAGCCTCCGCCCAAAGCATGCGGCGAGCTGCGCTGTCGTAAGAAGTGCACCACAAACTTCTCGGAGACCAGGCGGGATGAGCTAAACAAGGCGGTGACAAACATGAACTGGGAGGCCCGAGCCCTTTGGTATCGCGCCCAAGGCCCTAAATACAAGGTTGCACGGACTAATTTCTACTAAACCTACCAAAATATAGTTTCACGGTTGTATATTTTAATAACTTCTCAATCAAAACTTCTTTATTATTTTCTCGTTATCATTTATAAGCAATTTTATAAATTGACTTTCAATTTGCTAGCCTTTTACTGGCAAAATAACTTTCTAGTATTGGGTCAACATAGTTGTGTAGCAGTAGGAACCATATCTGGCAAAACCCCAATGCCTACATACAGCAGAAAAGCAGCCACCAGGTGTCGCCACAGTCGCTACTTGGTCGCCACACAGATGTCGCGCGCGTCGCCAATCGCCACACTACCGATTTCCATAAGGACGCATATGTACGGATATGTATAGGAAAGTCGCCCTTAAGGATTACGCTTACATCCTTTGCTTATGAGGTCGGTGGTTGGAAATTGAGAGGGGCTCAGCTATTTTCGACCACGGATATGACTTCATCACATGATGAGGAACATGCTGATAAGCGTTTTATGTGTCATAACAGCACAAAAGTATTTTTAATCATTTTTCAAAAATAGCCGTTCTGCCGTATCTTTCAGTGCAAGGCGCCGTCGGTCATCCCCGACGTTACGTCACGCCGGGGATTTCCAGATTTTCCTACTAGACTTCGACGCCCCCTGATCGCGCCTATGTGCACACAAAGGACGTGGCCAGGAGGAGCACTGACAGTGACGAGAAGCGCCAAAAGTCACTCTTCTGGTATCTGCCAGATGCAGAGGGCAAGATGGTGGCTGTCTGCAAAGGTTTCTTTTTAACCACGGTGGGACTAAGTCCTGGCAACGACATGCCCATCCGGAATGCTCTGAATAATGGATCAGTGAGTGCAGTTGATGGGAGAGGGCGACACCAGCCGGCCATCAAGAAAGACGCAGCGAAGATCCGTGACCACATCGAGTCATTCCGGCCGTGCGCCCCTCATTACCGCTACCTGCATGCGCCCTACCGGCGATATTTACCGGCTGACGTAACGGTAGCTAAAATGCACCAAGATTTTTTGGAAAAACATCCAGAAGAGAGGCTCAGCTACCAGCGGTACCGGCAAGAAGTTGTCTCCATGAAGATAAGTTTCACAACTCTTGGTCATGAAGAGTGTGAGCAGTGCAAGATGCACGTGCACCACAACTCATCGGAACATGGCCTGGCAGCGACAATGTGACCGACCACACTGATGGCTGCGACACATGCTCCCGTCACAGCGAGCACATCACCCGTGCTCGCGAAGCTCGCACCGAGTACCGGAGTGACGCGGACCGCGACTGGGGTGATGACGAAGCCGTGGTGAGCGCTGACCTCATGAAGGTGTCGCTCCTGCCGGTTCTTCCTCACAAGGCAGCGATTTTCACCCCTAGATTGATAGTGTTCAATGAGACTTTCGCGCCGCTGATAAGAAAAGGAGCGCAACGCGGACGGGAGAAACCACTGGCTATCCTGTGGCATGAAGGAATCGCCGGCCGGGACGCCGAAGACGTCGCTGCCACATTTTGGCAGTATCTGAAGGAGAACCGCGACAAAAGAGAAATCACTATCTACGCCGATAATTGTGCAGGACAACAGAAGTCGTGGGTCTTCGCAACAGTCCTGCTGACGTACAGTCACCAGCAGTTGCTACCCATCACCCCCGGACGGCGGGGGAGCAAGCTACCACCGCCCCTGCGAGACTAGCGCCGCCATGCGCCGAGAAGTGGAAACACCACGTGACTGAAGCCACGTGAGGGCAGGGTCACGTGATGGAGGGGCGGAGCATAGTAGCTTTTGCGCCCGACACTAACTGAAATGCGGCGCTGTGATTGGGCGCCTTAGCATGAATGAAGCCCCGGCGCCAGAATCAGCCGTTCGCCTTATATGGAAAGTGAGCCTTTGCGTTTCACTGTTCTGTATTGGTTTGAGAGCCACGGCACCATACGAATTGTGAGCCCCTTTGAACGGGTCACCGCCCGAGGCACTGAGGCGACGGCTGTGCCGGGCAAAGTCTCGCCTGGTGGGAGAGGTGGGCCAGGGAAAGTGCGATCGAGTAGCCACTGGGACGTGGATTGGTATTATCCAACCGCGACAAACTATGTCAGCAGCCTCTTCTCGTGTCATAGACAGTGTCTATGACACGAAAAGCTAGACAGACAACGTGGGCAGTGCCCAATCAAAAGCTACTAAACGATCCAGTTAGGAAGTTGGCGAGGTTGCCAGACCAAATAAAAAGTTTTAATTCGATTTTGGTTGACAAATGACATACAAGCCCGCTGTGATGGACCAAAAAAAAGGAGCTGAACAGTCCATACAACTTCTAAAAAGCTCAACGGTTTAAAAATTCAAAAATTAAATGGTAAAATTCAGCCTGCATGTTTAAACTCTGGTCCGGCGCTGGCAGGAAGCTTATATTGCCACTTGCAATTCCATTTCCACTACGTTGTAATATAACCAAGAGTTCTGTGAGAGCAGCAACTGAAAGCCCATTTGGGGGGGGGGGGGGGGGCGGCGCGAAACGGCCCCCTCTCTCCTTTTCAGTCGATATCTCCTAAAGTATAGCAAATGTCGCCACCAAACTTTCAAGACCCCTCCGGGCATCATTTTTACACCTTGTGACTAAATTTTTCCAGAGCTATTATGAAAGGTTAGTCACAAATGACGTCAGAGGGATGCCATGTTCTGTCATTTTCGACCCAATAAAAGGTTTAGCGGGAAGAGCTGTCACGCTTACAGTTTTGAAGATAACGAAAATATTCAAGATAAAAAAGATGTAAAATAAACAGCGCTACCAAACTGCTAGCTCTTATTTCCAAACAAAAATTGATTTTGACCATCAAAACAAAACTATAGAAGTATAACACCCCGAAAATACCAACAACTTTCAAAACTAAAACTGAAATATATGTTATAAAACTATCTGCTCTAGATATGCCAAACTTAAACTCGAAAGCTCCATCTCTAGCAAAGTTATGGCAAAAAAAAAACTTCTCAAAATTTATTACGTAAAATTTTCAAATTCAATTTTAGCCGTCACAGAACACACAAAGCAAGCCAAAGGCCACCATTGGATTTCCTGTGATGAGCTGCATCGAATAGATACCCCTTTTATGCAAAATATCAACTTTGAAATTTGACCTTCTTTGACCTGACCTTGACCTGACCTCCACCAGAATGTAATCTAAACTGGCCCCAATGGCCGTCTGGCTCACACCATTGAATTTTAAATGTAAAATTGGCCATAAAACATGTATCACACGACCCTAGCATAGTTGGGTTCATATTGTGACCCTTAGTGACCTGACCTCTGTGAACTGACCTGGCATCAATGACCTCTTTAGGCAACATATGCATTAGACAACCAACGCTCCATCGATGTTTTTCGATAACATGCCTTTTATTTGATGTGTTAACTGACTGTAACGCATTCCTTAGACTAAATCGGTGAAAAAGTGCGACCTTTGACCTGACTTGTGACGTCATGGGTTGCACCTAGGTCAACGAAACCTGGTAACAAGGTAGTTACCTGGTGGGGCTATCGAACACTTTTTGAATGTTTAAAATCGGTCGGTAACTTTCCGAGATCTCAGGTGGAGGGCGAAACGGCTGCAACACCCGATCAGGTGGTAGAGTCCGCCAATAGCCCAAGAGGGCGCGGAATATTTATTCACTCATACAGTGTCATTTATATTGAGAACACCTTTCTCACGCCATGACATGGTCCTCTCGTAATAGAACGAGATGAGGAGTGTTTTCACGCCTCCTTATGCACGGCTCATAAGTGTCATTGAGCTATGAACTGTCAGCGGTTTTCGGACAATGAAGTTCTTAGTTCTTATTGAATCCAATTTTATTTCAAACGATTGTCACTGTGCTAGTTTTCTTCTTATACATTTTTGAAAAAACGCTGAAGAAGTCTTTGATAGACGAAACCAGTCCGCTTATGCTTTTTCTAATTGTTTTTTGAATATATTCGTAGGTAGACTACTGGCTCTTTACTTCAAAATTTGAGAATGTTTGGTATCCTAATTCAATATACCCTGGTTTGGTATTACTTTGGCCCGAACGATGTGCAGCTGAATTTTCCCTCTTGAATGATTATGGACAGCTCGCGCTCAACCTATAAACTACCGACAAGCAGAAGAAAATCCGATACAAGCCTACCTCAATCCTCTCACCTTATTCAACCGTTGAAACGTTAATTACAGGCATTTGCTCAGTCCGAGTCGCTATGTCGACCACCCGCGCCGTGCTGGGGGGAGGGGGGCATTTTTACGCCCTTCCCCCTCAGGTTTTTCGCGAATATCTCAAAAAACGGCGACGCGACGCGTAGCGTCATTCAAGGTCAGGTCACCAGGTAACGTCAAGTGACCTTACCTCAGAAAAAAAAATTCGAAAGCTCGTTGTAGCTGCACCGACTGAGCGATCACTTTAAAACTTTCAGTGCTTGCATAGGGTAACAGTATGTATAAAATGGATACCTCGGATTTTTTATGTCTGTGGCCTAAGGTCAGGTCAGTTTTGCGACTGCTCCATTAGGTATAAGTCAATGGGAGAAAATTGAAATGCGCCTCTTTTGGACGAATTTCGTTCTACACCCTCTCAAACATCGGTCCATAGGTAGGTAAACATGACACACTGAATCAGAAAATTGCACCTGTGACCCCTGTGTGTGCCCCTGAGGTCATTTGAGGACATGTTGGCGAAAAAACGTTAAAAGAGCTATCGAATGCGCTTTTCCGCGGCGCTGTAGCTCTATTGGTTCCCGAGTTAGCCGTCGGGTGTTCGAAATCGTTGAAATCAACAAAATTTGACCTTTGATGAACCCTGGTGACCTGACCTTTGCCCTGACCTTAAAATGACCGAGTGTTTTCCTCCTTATTTTTGACGCTCTTTCGATTGTCGCTTACCGCGTGTCGCTACGTGGCCCAGGAGCCGAGTTAGACGGAGGGGCGTAAAACACCCCCCCCCCCCCCCCCAGCACTCGATGGAAAGTTAATGCCACCAACACGGCGGCGCGGGTTAATTGTTATGTTAACTAGCTCCTGTTGTAAGCTGTGGAGTCGTGGACCTGATCTTGAAGGAACTGGGCCTAACATTTTCATAGCAAACGTAAAAAATGTTTAATAGGTTGTGCAAAAAAGTAGCATCTTTTATGAAACATTTGCGAAACCTTCAACATCATCCCCAGACCCCATTAGTGCCGAGCTCCCAACGACGACCATAAAAGCGTCCCCATCCCGTCATAGGCGGCGGAACGGGGAGGGCACCGGGGCACCGTACCCCCTTTGATTTTGGCATTTCAACATTAGCCCAATGAGCGTTGCATGGAAATAATAGGACCAAAAGTCGGCAGTGCCCCCCCCTTAATTGAAGGTGTTCCGCCGCTACTGCATCCTGTTACGCCGCTAGTATCCGCGGCTGAGTTCGTTCCAGCTTCCGGGTCCGCGATCTCGGTCCGCGATCTCACACAGCGTTCTGAATAACGTAGTCCTGTATTGGTGATCGGTGTCCGGCGGGGGCCGCTGCCCGACTGCTGCACGGCCGCACCGTGCCCACGAGCGCAGCGAGCTCAGCGCCACCTAGTCTACTGCACAAAGTTCAGAGGGCAAAGGGCTACGTCACCACACACTACCCCCCTCAACAGGAATGACAGTCGTGGCGAAGCAGACAACACAAAAACTGGCCGAAATAAGACTAAACATCCGTCTAAAACTATTTCAAAGCAAAGCCAGTCGCTTCGAACACGACTTTGTGTCGCCGTCACATTTCGGCTATGAGGCGACGTGGCTGCTTCCGCTGCCTGACGGAAACACGCTGAGCGATGCCCCCAGTGGCTGATCCAGCTCCTGTTCCTGTCGCCGATGAGGTCACACCGCCACCTCTGCTGACCTGCGCCTCCTCGGCGCCAGCGTCGCCGCCTGCAGCTACCTGCGCTTCCTCGGAGCTGCCACCGGTAGCGGTAGCAGGTGCTGTCACAGCATCATTGCCCGTCGCCTCTGGTCCGTCTGTGGCCGGTGTGGCCGGTGACCTGACCGTCGTTTCCGACCCGCCGGTCACACCTGTCCCGACGATGACCCCCGGTCTGATGGTCACCGGTGGTCCGCCAATCCTGGTGGGTGCCAACGGAACCTGTCCGGTACGGTTCGGTGCTGCCACCGTCGGCTGCCGGCTGATTTCCTCCGCGCCATCGGGCGCTGCAGCAGCCTGTTGGGTGCACGCCAGACGCAGCTGGTCGGCGTGCCGCGACCAGATCGCGCTCCCCACGTCCACTTCGAACGACAGCGGGCCCGTCCGGGCGGTGATGACGCCCCGCCGCCACTTGGACGGTCCACCGTAGGCCCGTGTCCAGACGTGGTCTCCGATCGAGAACTGCCTGTTGTGACCTGGCCTACCGGCCTGCCACTGGCGAAGTTTTTCCTCGCGCTGCCGCACGTCCACATCCGGCTTTAGGAGGTCCAGGTTGGTTCGCACGTTCCGTCCCAACATCATTTCCGCTGGAGACCTCCCCGTGGTCGCGTGTGGCGCCACCCGGTATGCCAGCAAGAACCGCTGTAGGCGCTGAGAAAGCGTTCCTCCGTCCTTGAGTGCAGCTTTCAAGCCATTCTTTACGGTTTGCACTGCGCGC